GTGTAGAAAATGTTTGGTCTACCATCATGTTCAATAGCAACTTTTTCCGATCAAAAACGGCCAAGAAATAGCAAAAAAAGGAAGAAACTTTCGAAGACTGCCTCTAATTACCCCGAAGTACTCTATGAATTTCTTTTGACAGAGACAGAAAGAATTCATAGTTTAAATAAAATAGATATGACTATTTTAGAAGAAATTTTAATCAGACTTCATTAATTCAAAGACATTCTCCGGTTACCTTGTAGTTGCCATGCAATATAACAGCTGTGGAAATGGATAGTAGTTACAATACTTCAAGATGAATTGATACTAAAATTATAAGGACGTATAGACTTTTTTGTTTGAGCCAAACAGAAGTACTGCATACGGTACCTGTGTTTCGTACAAAAGTAAGCAAAATTCAAAAAAACTTTAAAAGACAGAACAATTATGAACTGCATCATGTTTCTTAGCGATTTAAATACAAAATTATTTGATAATGGTTTTTTTCTCTTTTTCGCACAATCAGCAACATTTTTTCCTTCGTTTTTTCTTCAAACCTTTCGGTGATTCTTGGTGCTGTCGTCGTTCGCCTTGCTCTACTAAGGAGATCTCATCATCTGAAAATGCAATCACCTGTGTTTCTGTGGCATCCTTAGCGCGCTCTGTTATTGTTTGCAAGAGAGCGTGATTACTCAGTATACATAATATCATTTGATTGAACACTGTATGGATGTTTTTACCAGTTAATGCTGATGTATGAAATAAAGATATATTATTTTCACTTGCGAATGTCTCCGCTTGATCGACAAATGTTCGAATCTTGACATCATTAAGTTCAGAATCTTTGATCACATCTATTTTATTACATAATATAATTAATTCGGCACCATCCATTTTTAATTCCTGTAATTTTCTATACCAGCGGGATTTGATACTTTCCAACGATTCAAAACATGTTACATCAGCAACTAAAAATGCTCCATGACAAGTACGAAAGTAATGCATCCAAACAGCTTCGAAGCGTGTCTGACCGGGAATGTCTAATACATGTATATCAACAGCATATCGATTTTCAAATAGTTCGTTCAAATGTAGTATACAGGTGTCCACTCCAATTGTTGAAGGATGATTTGATATCGATAATTTATTACCAAATCTTAAATGCTGTATAATACTTGA